GGGTGGCCCCAACCCTAAAAAAAAAAACCCAAAAAAAAAAAAAAAAAAAAAAAAAAAAAAAAAGCCCACAAAAACACTCAACAACTGTCAAATTGATCTGAACACGTGTTTTCTCACTTTCCATGATTTCACTCCACAATCCACTTCACTGTGGTTGTTGTCACTCAATCCACCTTTCTCCTGAAACTCAAGCAATAGTTACACAGTTTCCTCGATGAATCTACAGACCCCTCTAGATTTTCGTTCTCTTATTGCAAAGGCATGCTGGTAAATGCTTAACTGGTTTTCCTTATATGGAAAAATGTTCCGATGGATGCTGTTTGCCAATTTCTGTGGTGTAAATACTCCTACCGTGACTGCTCTCAAGTTACCAATGTGGTGTCACTGAGTACAGTTGACAAGGGAGGCTCAGTAGCACCTGTGAATATGGTGTTTCCACCGTGCAAATATAATTGACATGAATAATCTCAATAATGTAAAAGAATTGGGAAATGATGGGGTTTGTGGATTTCTTACCTTTGTTTTTAGTATAACTTGTTTAACTGCGAGGATATACAAGAGATCTTTAAGAAGTTCATGGAAAATGGGAATTAAAATATAGTTTATTTTGGTATAAAAACATTTTTAAACCCATGCTTGTTTTTTTTTTTTTCATACTATGCATTTTTAATCGACTTTTTGAAGACTCCTTCATACAAATTAACCTTTATGTTCTTTTTACTTATTTATTTTTAATTGCCAGAGGGTGTTAGTGTTTGCCAGAGAGAGACAGCGAGAAAGAAGGGGAGAAAGCACCCTCAAAGTGTGGTCATACCACAATCCCTTCTCCTCCATTTCTCATCCTGCCTGGAGCGAGTGTGTGTGAGAGAGAGGGAAAGTGAGAAAACAAGCCGCCAGGTCCGGGATTCGAACCATAGTCAGCCATGTGGGAGTCCAGCACCCTGAACCACCATGCCACCTGCTGGCCCCAAGGCAGTAACTTTCATGGTCCAGTGCAGCTGCTCACTTTGGAGATGAGCATTGGAAACAGAGGATAGAAAAAAGAGACAGCTAGATGATAGATAAATAAAGACAGGCAGATCAATAGATGGTAGAAAATAAATCGCACAGTCTTGTCATGTCTTTTGCTAAGGTAGGATTATGCTGAAGGTGGTTTTGTTCCTATGTCTAAGGAGTTACAAATTCCTTCATCCTATGTGTATTTGAAGTTAGAGAATGATTACAAGTGAAGTCTGTGTTTTTTGGATTATTTATTCCAGTTCTTCATTTATCCCATTTCTTTATGAGTAAGGCTTCTGAGAGCATAACATTGTTACTATATTGTAAAAGGTGAAATCTGGAGCCAGCAAGTGGCATCCTGGTTAAAGCATTGGACTCCCACATGGCTGACCATGGTTCAAGTTCCAGATCCAGTGGTTTGAAAAATCATGCCAAGTGCATGTGTGTATGTGTGTGTGTGTGTGCCCCAAATGCCAAGAGAATGGAGGAGAAGGGATTGTGGTGTGGCCATCTCCCCTAGGGGATGATTTCTCATTTTCTCTCTCACCGTCTCTGTCTCTTCAGTGAGCACATGTACCCTATGGCAAAGACGTTGGAAAAAAATGAAATCCACACTTGATTTCATTACATTCATACATTAAAATGATGTAAAATAATTTTCTTTTGTTTTTTGGAGAGGTTTTCG